TTGACTATATGTATTTTCCCTGGCCACGGGTAAATACGTTCTTTGATAAGTTATACGCTACGAGCTAGGTAGCAAGATCTTGGCAAGGTTCAACTTTAAAATTATACGACACCAGACAATACTTCTTTATAAAGGAAACACGAATTTATTGGCTATTCTAAATGATATTAACCTAAGCTAAAACATACACATACACACACACACACACACACACACATACAGTTCTGAAGAATGAAAATTATGTTCTGAGGAAAGTTCCCAAAGTTCTAACTCGTTTTCACGAGTGGTTTTAAATTCAACCAGAGAATCACAAAGCAGAGGTTTGTCTTACGTTTACTGCTTAAATGATTCAGCACCTATTTCAGCGGATAGTAGACCTTGGCAGGCTGACTTTTGTCCCTCCCACAGGTTGTTGTTCCAATCAGATAGTGGCTGCGGGGCTTAGCCACGCCTTGTGTGGTTCCTTTATCATGCATGAATCACATGCTTCCAGTGGGGCGTATTCCTGCAAGTTTTAATAACTTCTTATAAAGTGTCGTACAACACACACTGTTCAAAATAACACATTTTCATCCATACCAAGGTTATTTAAATATCATGACCATTCCCACAAGCCCAAACTTCGCATATCTGGCATACACAGAGTACCTTTAATCACTTTATCTATAAAAAGAGGTTACAAAACATCGATTAAACTTCATAGGTTACAATAAACACATCAAACAGAAAGCCTATTATTTGGGAGTATATTGCTCCGATACTTTAAATGATTGTCTTTTAGAATCATCATGCCAGTGTTCCTCTGTTGCAAGAGAAAACGCGGGTCAGTTGGATTTCAGAAAGGGCAGGAAGCAGATGGTCAAACATCATGTGATAGTCACGCATAGATCCCGTGTTTGCAGGCCTGAGGGCGTCAGTTAATTTACTTCCTGTGCCTACACTGGTTCCATACATTAGCGATCACGAGACATCACGAGGTATCTATATGTGGTGAAAGAACTTTTCAGTCCTGATCCAAAAGATCTCTGTGTTATCTCCTGATTGGATTAGTCCAGACCTCATGATGAGTTGATTCAGTGGCATATCAGTGTCCGTTCATGATCGAAATCCCTACAGGATCGTCAGATGGGTGTTCGGGGATGCTGGAGAAAATTCAGGTTATCACGCATACTTCTGGTTTGAATATCCAGGATGGGTTTTTTTTTCTTTCATTATTTTGTTTTCTTTTATGACCATAGTGACCAAGAGTGTTTTGACAGTAGTTTGAAGCGAGTTTTTCAATATGGTTGTATGCAAATTCCAGACTTGACTCGAAGTTCTTTTATTTCGTCATGTAGCGTAATCAGTAACTCTAGCTTGTTATTTATGGATGCAAGTCCACTGACCTCAATTTCTGTAGTCTGTAGATCTCTGGTGTCAGTAGATGATGTCTTTTTTTAATTTGTTTGGTTTCGGCGTGCTTTGCTGAGTTGTAGTGTTACTATCCATTTTGCAGCGGTTTTAGTGTTGCTCGATGTGTGCCTCTGTCCGTTAATCTTTCCAGTGTACAGGTAGTGTGTTCCCATAGTTGTTGGTATGTAATAATAATCCACAGTAATGCTACAGTTTGTACAGTTAATACAGTTAGTATAGTGAGTACAGCTGCATGCCGCCATGATGAATCTTGTCCTCTCAGTGTGATCTCACGTTACTTAATAGTCTGAAATGTTTACCGAAATATCTCACCGTTCACTTCACACTCACTCACCATTATATGTCTGATCTAAAAAGCAACTGCCCTCGTGTTTTGCCGCAAACAGCAATAGTGAGTAAATTTTCTGTCATCTTTGCAGGACTGTGATATGAAGAGTGTACAAAGTTACATATCTTTGGCAACAGTGTGAAAGCGAATCGCACATAACCGGCACAATATCAGTATAAACACAGATTTCTATTGGTATAATATGCCTTGCATGACTAAACGCGTGTCATTGTTTTCAAATACCTCCGTTTTTACAGTCCACTCTACAACGTAAAAACGCCATTTTCAAAATGTACCCACTTTGGAGAGCGTTTTAAAAAAGCTCCGTTTTCCTTGACAACGATGCCGTCTCAGTGTGGACGAAAGACCAAAACAGCGAGAAAAAAAATGCATTTTCAAATGGAAACGTATTAGTGTGGACTAGGCCTAAAATATAGAATGGGAAATGACTTTCTGGTGACAACTTAATTCTCATTGGTTTGAACTACTATTGTGTTTTTTGTTTAGTTTTTTCTAAAATGTTTAATGTTTATTATTTATAAAATCATTATTTTTATGTGTATATTCCCAAATTACATAAGTACTTTAGTTTTCTTAATCATACTTATTTTCATATAAAAACAACAGAATTTAAATTACATCAAGGCCCTGGAAATCAATTTAATGTGGCAAATACCACAGATATGCTTATTTATGTTAGAGCTGATAAAACTGTGATGAGAATATTGCTTGTGAATAAATTACTTGAACAACAAATGAAAAAATAATAATTTTTCTTACATACAACTAACTTTCTACTCGGACAAATGGATGATTGATTTAGTTGTCCAAAGGACAAGCACATATCAACGTTTAATGTTGAGCCCTGGGGGCTGTTTCAAAAAAGACTAAGAAAAGTTGGGATTAAAGTCCAAAACTTGACTTGAAGTAACCTAACAAATCAATCGGGGTTAAAGCGGTACCATAAATGACTATTTAAGCTCATACAATCTTACTAATTTGATCCAGGTTCAGTGAGTCAAGATAATTTAAGGGCTGCTTAAGAATAAGCGTGCACATCAATGTCGATCATGGATCAAATTGATCCAAAATGGCAAACAGCGAATATATTTGTGCCGTTTAATACATTTGAGATGTTGCGTTTTCCTCAGTGCATATTCTTCATCTGTAAATGTTAGAAAGTCATGCAAACATCCATTTTGTTGTCAGGAGTGAACGAGCGCTGCTGCACGTTAAACAGACGGAGCGCACTAGAATAAGCACGCAATAATTCTGAGCACAATATACATTTTGCTTAAATATTTGTTGTTGGACATTAAATGTGACATGTAGAATTATAAACCTTAATATAAGTGTATTTTTTATCATAGCAGTAACTGTAAATCAAATGTAAGCTAGATAAGTCCTAATTACTAGCTCAAATGAGTAAATGTCTGTTCCTCTTCCCAGTTGAAATGTAGGCTGTTTTCTATTATTTACTTAATTTTTAATTTAGTGCTTTAAAGACTCATTTTAGATTGTAATGTTTTAATGTTTTACAGCTGTCATAAGACCAGAGAGAAAGGATGCATGGCTAGAAACTGCTGATCAACTGAATGCGCAAGTAGCAACCATGTTAAAATATTTTCATACACCGTGTTGCCAGATTGGATGGACGATTTCTAGCCCAAAGGCTCACAAAAACCCGCCCACTCCAACAAAAAACTGCCCAAAACTTTAACTGTCAAAATAATGTGATGGAATATGTAAATCAAGGTTGATAAGGGCCATTTTTAACTCCTTAAAACAAAATAATGACAACAAAATAATATAAATATAACGTTAGATAAATTTCCCAGGTAAACGGATCAAATCGGGGCAAATAGCCTACATTAAAGAGAATTAGGCTACCAAACATGAATAAAATATGCAAGTAGACACTGTCAAAACGGCAATCAAGAAATTAACCGATACCATCGAAACAACACATGCATCATTTTCAGTGTCAACAGTCAGAATAATTCAATTTAAATGCAAAAGGTGCCCAATATAGGCTGATTGGAAAAAGCAACATAATTAGCAGGTATTTCACACTCGTTCATGCACACACCATGACAGTCAAAACTGTGTCGTTCATTGATTACATATGCTGTACGATAATCCAAGAATTTAAAAAAATCAACAACAACAATAATGCGCTTACATTCGTGTCGCTCTATAATTTTACACAGAACTAGAGGAAGTCTTTTGTGAAGTTCATATTGTAGAACAGGGGTGCCCAACCCTGTTCCTGGAGATCTACCTTCCTGCAGACTTCAGTTCCAACCCTGATCAAACACACCTGTCTGTAATTATCAAGTGTTACTTCAGATCCTAATTAGTTGGTTCAGTTATGTTTGATCAGGGTTGGAGCTGAACTCTGCAGAAAGGTAGATCTCTAGAAGCAGGGTTGGGCACCCCTGTTGTAGAACATAATAGAACTTTGCACAGTCAAAACTAATCAAGTCTAGCCGTTTTCAAGGATTTATCAATCTGGACCGTTTAAAAGATAAAAGACAGGATCGTATAGACCCAGATATTTAGTTTAAATTTTGATTATTTAATTCAAAAGTGCTCTGATTTCGGAGTTGCAGTTATATTAGAGCCTTCGTGTCATCGCACTCCACAGTAATTCCCGATTTGAGAGTCGAGTCATTCTCCCACTCTTTAACTTGTATTTAGGCATTGTGATTACTTGAATATAGTCATTTTTTGACAAAAAAAAAAAAGATTCAGAATTGAGTGATTTATGACCATTTTCCATTGTTTCTCATCCTCTGACTCAAACAGTTGGTTTTGGGGTGTTTCCCGTTTGAGGTCAGTGGAAAAAGCCCACTTTTATGATTGGCTAACATCATTGCCCCATAATAAAACCTCACAAGGAATTATTGTGTGATGAATTTTTCATCTGATGGTTGTGTGTGGAGTCTGTCCCATTTTCTTTTTTTTCCTCTCTCTCTAAATTTTTTGCATTTTATCCCCTAGGAGAAATAAAAATGGTACACTGAGATCTGTCTATATCTAGATTTCTTAAACTCAGTCATTAGATTATCTAGATTTTTTTTTTTTTTATTGTATAACAGCCAGCTTAAACTGTGTAGGACACCGGCCGACCAGGATCAGGTTTGGACACCCTGGTGTAGAATCTAGCATACATGCATTACACATTTAGGTTTTGATGTTGATGGCTTTGTACCATTAAACTGGGCTTAACTTTTATTTGTTTGTTTTTCAACTTTAGACCTAATGGCACTGAAAGAGGAGAGGGAAGGACTGAATGAAACTGAAGAGAAAGATCAGTATGAGAATCTTCATGATTTTACAACCGGAGAAAAGTCTTTTTGTTCCTTACAGTCTGAAAATACTTCCACACGAAAAAGAGCTCAAAAGACAGGAACTAAGAGTTATTTCACTTGCTCTCATTGTGGAAAGGGTTTCAGTCAACAAGGAAACCTCAAAGTCCACCTGAAAATTCACACTGGAGAGAAGCCTTTCATCTGCAAACAGTGTGGAAGCAGTTTCACTCAAAAAGGAAACCTCAAAGTCCACCTGAAAATTCACACTGGAGAGAAGTCTTTCATCTGCAAACAGTGTGGAAACCGTTTCGCTCAAAAAGGAAACCTTAACAAGCACATGAGAGTTCACACTGGAGAGAAGTCTTTCACATGCTGTCAGTGTGGAAAGAGTTTCGGTCATCCTGGAAACCTTAAAAACCACATGAAAATTCACACTGGAGAGAAGCCTTACATCTGCAAACCGTGTGGAAGAAGTTTCAGTAATCCTGGAAACCTTAGAGTCCACATGAGAGTTCACACGGGAGAGAAGTCTTTCACCTGCAAACAGTGTGGAAAAAGTTTCAGCGGAAAATTAAAACTGAAATACCACATGAAAGTTCACACTGGAAACAAACCCTTCACCTGCCATCTGTGTGGGAAAAGTTTCAAGCAAAAAGGATACCTTAATGCCCACAGGCGAATTCACACTTTGGAGAGACTTTTTCCCTGCCAACAGTGTGGAAACAATTTCACTTATAAAAGAAGCCTTAACAGGCACATGAAAATTCACAATAGAGAGAAGCCTGACAGATCCCCTCTGTGTGGAAAGAGTTCCAATCAAAATGTATAAAATGGGAAGTTCTGGTCCTTGATTCTGATTGGTTGAGCCACATTCTAAGCTGTTGTAAATTACTCTACAAACATACACCTCTTTATTGTCTGGGTTATTTGGCAACCACTTTGTTGCAACCACAACTGTTTCTACGGAACTAAATTGTTTGGCAGAAGAGTGTTTTTATTAATATCGTTACATTTTATTTTTTTTGTTTTATTTTGTGAAACCTTGCTACTTGTATGGAATAACCGTTTTATAAAGCGATAAGTCCCGTGAAGCCATGGTTTACAGTGAATTTATGACAGCTAAGGGGGTTTTAGCCACTCCACTCTGCATCGTGCCCAGCGTCCCCTAAGCTGTTATAAATTCACTGCAAACCACGGGTTCTTGGGGCTTATTGCTTTAGTAAACCTTGACGTCCACAGGCAAATTCACACTATGGAGAGCCTTTTTACCTGGTAACAGTGTGGAAAGAGTTTCACTCATAAAGGATACTTAAACAGGCACATGAGAGTTAACACTGGAGAAAAGCCTTACACATGTCCTCGGTGTGGAAAGAGTTTCAGTCAAAAACGATACCTTGAAGTTCACATGAAAATTCACACTGGAGAAAAGTTTCAACCAAAAAGGTAACCTCAAGTACCAAGTGAAGATTTACTCAAGAGGGACCTATTTAAATGTCATTAGTGTGGAATGATTTGTACAGACAAGAAAAGCCTAGGAATCATGCAGGGACATCGGAGAGAAGTCTGTCGTGCCATCACTGTGGAAAGACTTTCAGAAAATAGCAAATCTTGAGTTTCACATAAGCTAGATGATGCATACCATCTTCTGTAGAGCTGCTTTACAACTGAATCCCATCCTGAAACATTGACATTGGCACCTAACTGAATTACCTGCTTTACAGCAGAATCTGAACTGCCTCCTGTAGCGTTTGGACTAATCATACACAATAATTTGCTATATTTAACAAATAATCCCTAACATCCCTCACCCAACCAACAAGCCAACTTCCCCCAAAACACAACTAACACCTCAAAAAGGCAGAACAGGCCTCTGGTTTCATGGCAACCAATGACAAATCATCTGATAACACTGGTTTTATTGCTCAAAAGAATGCGGGCAGAGCAACTCTCCCTACATTTCCCCATAGAAAAGGACTCTTCTCTAATTAATTCATAGACAAACCTTTCTGAGAATGCACACCCATATCCTCAGGTCGTTATGTGTATTATTACTGTTCTTGTAGATTCTCTTTTGTATTGTATACTGTTTTATGCATGCGTTATGATAGAATCTGTAGTTAATGTAACTTCACCTATACCATGTTTGGTATCTATTAATTCATGTGTTGATCTAAATGAGAGTGTATATTATATGTTGTAATGGAGTTATTTAATACTGTAAATTCTTTAATACATTTTCAGTAAGCAAACTTTGAGAATAAAAGGGTATTGGTGTGTTTGACAGGAGGGCCTTCATCCAAGGATAGAAAAGTCTAAGAATGCAGTTACATGATTCTAGAACTTGTCACCACCATTGAAAATACCATCATTGGCGTAGAGAGAAAACATTCTGAGAGATGAGGCTATAAAAGAGGAAGAATGCCCTCCCTTCACTGTCACACACTCTGCAGCATCTCGACTGTAAGGTAAGATTGTCTGACCTTTTCTTGCAAGAAAATAAACCATCTTAAAGACAATTGGACATGTTTGTCTCTTATTCAGTGATATAATTTCTATTTGCCACAACAATATTTAGATACCAATGCAACATATTGGTGTTCTAATAATCTTTCACTGATTCTTGAGGCATGGGTCAAAATATGTCCAGCAATTGTAACTTATTAAAAATTTAAATATTTTCAATTGCAAATGTTATGAGGGATTAATAATAGAATGTATTTGACACAATTATCCCCTTCAGTTTAATTTTGTCATTATTATATGAAATCTGACACTTATTGTCTTCTCACTACATCTAAAACAGTGTGTCCACAGAGAAGTGTTCAATCATTCATATGCTATAAAATGGATACAAATGGTGACAACTTTACTGTCCGACAGTTGTGACGGGCCAATGACGGAGTTGACATTCAACGTGAAGTCATCAAATTTTTTATTTTTTTGTTTAAAGTCATTTTTAATTATATTAAATAAAATGGTGTTTAATTTTTCTAATAATGTATAAATTCTAAATATGTGACCTGATGGCATATATATAGGCTGTGCTGCAGTCAGTGAACCGCTTCCATCGGCGCTGCTGCAGCAAAACACACGGTTGCTCACATGAAACATTTTTATGTGAGTATTATGACCAGTACTTAATTTGATCCTGCTGGATCCTGTTCCGGAAAATGTCAGATTTTGAATTGTTGCGTAGGCCTATTTGTTTTTAAAAAATCCGGCATTTACGTTGCATTAGATCGTGACAGTGCATGCTTGCGTGCATACGAGACAAAATTAAACGACTTAATCGACCATCGATAGCTTTAATCGTTGACATCCCTAATTCTGATCATATTTGGATCATTTTTTAAGATGTTTAAATGTGAATATTAAGATCCTGGTGAATGTACGTAAATGGATAGAGGTAAAAACTAATTGTTTTATTTGTTCATATGATTGTTTTTGTTCTGCGATAAAAGAAAATAAATCATTTGTGTTCCAATGATATATCAAAATACTTGAATGTGAATCTTGAATAAAAGCTTTATAAACAATAACATACTCACTGTTTGTCAGAGGTGGACAGTAACGAAGTACATTTACTTGAGTACTGTACTTAAGTACACTTTTTCAGTATCTGTACTTTACTTGAGTATTATTTTTTCTGGAAACTTGCTACTTCAACTTCACTACATTTGAAAGACAAATATCGTACTTTTTACTCCGCTACATTTATATCAAGGTCCCTGAGTAGAAAGTCGTTATATGTAGCAGTTTTTCCAGTGTGTGTGCATTTTCAGATTCACTGAACCCTTTTTTTATGCGAAAATCTGGCCTGCGATCTGCCAGGACCTTCCAGTGTTGCCAAGTCTTACAGTATTTCTAACGCGCGTGAGCAGCACGTCAGTGTAACTACACCGTCACTGCAGCTGCAGATGCGCCCGAGTATTCACACGGGAAGCGTTTGTACAGCGTCACAGCAGCGGCTCCAAAGCTACATATTTCTTTACAAAGACAACTATAAACTTGTTTTTAGAGGTCGGTCAGTTATAAACTTGAATGTTTTGAAGTCTTGAAAGTTTGTTAACACGGGGATTCGCGTGTAAATGGTAAACAACAAAAACAGCTCCTATCATCTCGTTTCCGTCATACTCAAATATAGAACCTGCTGTTTAAATTTTAATAATACATACTTTTACCCATAGGCGCTTACCCAGATATGCGCTATTAACCAAGTTATAGATCCATGTGTGTCCATAATCTCCATGTCCATTTCTTATAGACGATGTCAATAGGCTTTATGTAAATTATGTGTAATTAAGCTCCGTTTTTGTAACTGATCGGGAGAAATGTGAATTATTAATTGGATTTTAACTAATTATTAGATTACTAATATAATACTAATTATTATAAGTAAGAATGTCAAAATGTATTTAGCCTATGTAGAACTGAATAAAAAAAGTAGGCTATGCGTTTCTAGCCAATTGTAATTTAAATCTTAATATTTTTTCTTAGAAGCTGTCAATATGATTTATACGATTGTTTTGTGTCTGTGTTTGTCTTGTGTCCCTGTTTGTAATTTGTGCCTTGTCCGTTTCTGTAACTGTGGAACGGAAAATAAATAAAAGGCGTAAGTTTGTCACGTCAATCGTAAGTGAACACGTGTGCAATATTTACAGAATACAATATTTAGGTTACAGAAGCTGTCAATAATGAATGAATAATTAATTTCTTATGTAGCCTATATACTCCATTGTAACTTAAGATCCTGAACAAGATGAATCGTTCGTTGTGAGTTTGATCAAATGTTTTAAGTGATAATTTGCTTATGGCAATTAAAAATTAAAAACAAGTTAAAATGGGTAAATCTATACATATTTTTTATTCTTAATTTTCTTTCCCGGCATACTCCAATTCATGTTAAAACACACTAGACATGCTTATTCTGTGCATTTTTAGCACGTTTTGTGTGAAATCATGTTTATTTTGTGCATCAAATGTGTGCTGTCACTTTACTTGAGCGTCAGCAGCGCAGCAAAAATAGACTCGGCGCCGAAACGATCGCTGCAGCGCTGCTCCTGCTGCCGGTGTGAATTCACTCATTGATTAACATGCACGCCAAAAAAAATACGCACCGCTCACACTTGCTGTGTGCACTCTCATGTGTATGTGTTAACTCGTTAAAGCTCTTTGGAAAATTAACCATGTTTTTCACTATAGTAACTAGTTTAACTATGGTATTTGCGGTAAAATCACAGTTTTCACAAATTTACCAGTCTCTCACTATAGTAGCCATTACTATGCTATTTGTAGTAAAACTACAGTAACCACAAATTTAACATAGTTACATTATAGTAACTATAGTTTAATATTTGTAGTTAAAACTATGGCAATACAAATGGTAGGCTAATATATCTGTCAAAAATGTCTGTTATTACCATATATAAAAAACCTTACTACTCAGGCCTACTGGTAAATTACTGCTAATAATTATTTTATTGTCAAAACACTGCACATAAATACATATATTTTTTTGCAAACAAAATGACAAACCACAAATGATCGCACAGGTCAATGTTTTACTTCACTTTTTTACAACTTTGAAATCTAAACTGGGAATCGATAAGAATTGAAATCAATATGCAGAATCAGAATCGGAATGGATCAAATTTAAACAATACCCAACCCTAGCCACATGTTGTGAAGTTCACTGATTTATGAGCATTTTATGAACACTGATCAGTTGATGGAAAAATGGCCATACTGAGAGAGTATGTTCCAGTTTTCTGAAAAGACTAAAGATTTGTTTTCTTTTCAAAGTTTTGCCTAAAATGAACCATGTCATAT